ACTGAGTGCAGTTCTACATACTCTCAACTTTTTAATTTTATTTCCTTACAATTGGCCTATGGCAATGTTTAAAGCTGGTACAATGTTACAAGTTTTATTCTTCCAGTGGAATCAGGAGGAAGGAAAGGTGCAAGTTCACCTTTATTGGATCTCAGAGAACCCACAGGAAACTGAGATTCTATATTTCTGCTGCTCATAAAAGTCTGTAGGCTTTTTTTTTTTTTCCTTTTGCCAAATATTCCTTGGTTGTGGTAAATAATTCCTAAAGGTATGAGAGATGTCAATTCAGTTCAGTTTTCAAGATGATAGTATATAGATGTGACATTTGGCAGTGGAAGGAAAAGATTTAGAGGAAGACAAAAAAGGAGGAGTTAATATTGTTTCCTCAGAGGCCTGCAAAATCCAGAAAATAAATAATTTAGACCAGAGTTTTTAAATAGACAGAATGAGACCATGTTGCTATGCTCCTTAATCTGATCTTTCAAGTTTCTTTTAATCATCCTAGGAAATAATATGCAAATTCCTTTTTTAGCTTCTTTCAGGCTTTCCAAGTCCTTGTCAAACCAAGTCAATGTATGCATTAAAGGACATCTCTTACAGAAATTCATTTCTGAGAGACAGTTCCTGCAAAGTGAGTGCTGCTTCTGCAGAAAACCTAGTTTGGCTCTAGCTCAGCCTAGTGAGGAAACTGGAAGAAAATATCTTGGTCACAGTATGAAGAAGTAACCGTAAAGAGTAAGCCACAAATTAAGATTTAAAAATATTTTAAATCTTTAAAAAGCACAAGTAACAAGATAACTATGGACACTTTCCTTTTTAAACCCCATCCAGCATGATGGTGGTAGTTCTTGTCATCTGTAAGTAGTGACATGAATAATGCCTCTAATGTGTGACTCCTTTCTGTCTAAAAAGAGTATAAAAAGAGTATAAAAATACTCTTCTGGTCTAGCTGTACATGTTGGGGGTGAGATTTTTTACCAAGACAGCTCCGCTGAAAAAGCAGCAGCTTGGAAGCAGTAATACTACATGCTTACAAGCACAATGTGTTTCATTTGAGTTTCCACAAGAGCAAGGTGCAGGCTGAGCTATATGGGTGCATCTGATGCACAAGTGCTTATCATGTGTTATGTAACGACCAGTTGTAGCAATACCCTGCCTCAATTTAAAGGTCTGCCCTTAGCAGACTTAGGAGACTGGACTCAGAACTCTAGGTTGAATTCAACTCTAGGTTGAATTTTATAATACACCTTTAAAGGATGCTTTGGTCTGGTTCTTAGCATATATTGTACAAGTAATGGTCTCTTGTATAGGTCTTTAATGATTTTTTATGTTACTACAGCTTATTTCTCTTGCTGTTCAGGAATGTAGTGAAAAATCAATATACATTAATATCATGTAAATTATTTGAAATGTGATACATAGTGTTCATAGTTGGGAAGGCTGTGCTCTTTAGACTAGCGTCCATGTCTGATTTTGAGGGCTGGGTTAGATCAGCGAAGATGTGGCAGGCCTGGTCTGATCTCTAGAGACCTGTTGAAAATCCCAAGGCAGCCCAAGAGCATAGTTAGGCAGCTGTGAGATGCCACATGAAGTTAAGTCTATATTTTTCTAAACATTAAAATCTCAACATTAAGTTACAACACATTGCTAACACAAGTGTGGGTTAGATGAGTGTAACACAAGTGTGGGTTAGAAGAGTGGACAGTGAAGTGGATTGAGATGGCAGAACTCAAGAGGGTTGTAATAAATGTGTCTGAGTCTAGCTGGAGGCCTGTGGCCAGTGGCCTTCCTCAAAGATCAGTACAGGGCCCAGTGCTGTTCAACTTCTTCATCAATGACTTGCATGGGGGCACAGAGGGTGCTCTCAGCAAGTTTGTGGATGATACCAAGCTGGGTGGAGTGGCCGACACTCCAGAAGGCTGTGCTGCCATCCAGAGGGACCTAGACAGGTTGGAGAGTTGGGCAGAGAGGAACTTCATGAGGTTCAGTGTCGCTGCTTGAGCAGGAGGATGAGACTGTGTGATCTCTAGGGGTCCCTTCCAACCTCAACCATTCTGTGATTCTTTGAAAACAGGAAGCCATGTGACCCAAGCTCACATAGGGAAAGGGACTTCTCAGACACTGCTGCCATGTGTTTGAGATCATCTTTTGGAGGCTTGAGATGGTGGTGTGTCAATTACGCAACTTCAGCAAGATTGGGAAATTACATTTTGCTTCATTCTTGAAGTTAGTTGACATAGCTTTCACTAGGACAGGTAAACAAGTCATCTCTTATTTCTCTACCGAAGGATGTGTTGTCTTTTCTCTCTTTCTCTCTTTCTCTCTCTCTTTTTTTTTTTTTATTTCTCCCCTTCTTTCCTTGCCATATTGCCCTCATTCTATTTTTTTAATATTTTGCTCTCAATACTGACCTGAAGTGTATGAAGAAACTATTGCTAACCAAAGCAGTATCTGGAAAAATCCTATCTCTTGAGGGGAAAAAAGGTAATCTCTAAAACAGGATGCAAGCTACGATCTGTATAGATGCACTTAGCAGTGCAAGGTAAAAGGGATTGTAGCTTTGGACCTACAGTATGGCAGGTGCAGGCTTTTTTCTACTCTTCTCCATGCTTCCTCTTTCCCTTTCTCTTCTCATCTCTATGATAGTACTAAACTATGGGTAAGTATAAACTGTGAGTTTAGGGCTGGTCGAATTTCTAATGCTCTTATTTTATGGGGAAAGTTTTTTGTGTTTTCCTTTTTTCTCTGCTATTGAAACAAGAAAATAAAAAGTGCTTCTATACAGATCACAGCTTGCACCCTGTTTTAGAGATTTAGCATACCAAAAGTGGCTTGTCGAAGTTTTGTTATATTGAATACTTCCTGAAAATAATAGTAAAAAGTGTTGAGTGCTACAACTAAAATAATTCTAAGTTTAAAGATATGAAACTCTGCCAAATCAAGTTGAAATCCCTTATTAAAAGTAGTACTGGAAATGAGGTAACAAATCACTTGAGATTCCTTTCCTCTTCAATAACAGGCTGAGACATGGGGCTTTTTTTTTTGGCTTATTTCTTCCTCATGATTGGAATAGAGAAAGAATAGTTTATAGGGTGAGTAACAGAAAGAAGTATTGAAACCCTGCAACTTCTTTACTGTGTCTGAATAAAGCAACTAACAGCTTCACAGCTCTGCATAGGAAGACTTTCCGAAGGATAAGCCATCAGAAATTAAACTGCAGTCTCTTAACCTTCCTGACTCTTAAGTTTTTTGCCAAGTGTCTGTAAAGAAGCAGGATACACCGTGAGTACTTTGCACACTTTCCTTTCCAGGGCAGTATCTGGGGACTCTTCGCCGAATTTCACTGCAATAGAAAGTTGCCTTCTGCAGAACAGCTGCTCTGTTAGGTTGTTCAAAATGCTGAGTTGGTGGGCACAGCTTACTCTTATCCCAAAAGCAGGATTTAAAAATGCCTGGGGTTGCACGGTGTCCTATTCTCACTGACTTCTTTAGAGCAGTTATAGGTGTATGTGTATGTGTGTGCATGTGGTTTTGTTTAACTCCCAAATGCAAGTCTCCATGTTTAGGATTTAAACATCCTGTTGGAAACATATCAGAAACAGTGCTATATTCACAGCAGCAAATAGCTGAATAATATTACAGACAGGAAGGAATTAACTTCAATTTGTTTCTTTCTCAGTCTGAGTGTGCGTATGTTTGTGTGTGAATTTGGAACTTGTTTGAGAGAGAACAGCAGGAAGGGAAGCCTCCTACTTCGGCTTTTCAAAGAGTCTTTGGTGACAACTTCTGGATATGTTTGTAGTTTTGTTTGACTTAGCATGCGTGGGGCATTGAATGGAGATGTTTGAGGCAGCTGACTGGTGGTGTTCAGGGCTGGCTGCTCACATGTCCCTGAAAATGGAGACCAGAAGGGAAATGAGTGTAATGCAAAGTCAAAACATAACAGTATTTTTACACTAAGTGGGACTGTGACTTGTTAAACTATGCTGCCCTGGGAAATGGAAGATGGCAATGTGTGCATGAGTGCAGCTGATATGTGTAGCTGGACACGGCCAAATTGCACCAGGTCTGTGTCATCGCACCATCCCTTGCATGCCTGCAAGCATGCAAGACGCTGGAGTCAGATCCCCTTTAGCGAAGATTTTGGGAACATGGTAAGATATATATATATATATACACATATTTATATATATAAATAAAAATAGATATATATACTACATTTGTGTGTGTGTGTATATACATATCCTACATATATATATATATTTTTCTTGATGTTTGGGCTAGTTCTTATTTGCTTTCCTACCTATGGTACTCAGGGCCCAGACTATTTAAAGATTCCTCTATAATTCTTATTTATTCAGATGCTTGTTTTGTAGTGTCATCTGAGTGTAGTACAAGCTTCTCTTTTGCAATGCTTTGATGAATCACTTTTTTTTTCCTTGCATCCTGAGGATCAGTATTATTGCTATGATCATTCCTGTTTTTCTGCACTGCAGCCAAACATTTGAATGCTCCTTAAATTTGCTGATCTTTCCTATATTCCCCAGAAAAATCTGTCATCAGTGATTCTTTGTAACTTCTCTTGCTTGCTAAATTGAGCTACTTCTTGTTTTTAAACCATGTCGGGGGTTATGAGCAAATACTACCAATTGGAAAGTACCTTCTACTCTTGCACTAAGACAAAATGATGATGTGCATAAAGCTCTTGGGCTGAGTAATTATGGAAAGAATCTCACCCAGGAACCCAATTCGATTAAGAGCAATGCAGTGGATCATTTTATTCCTGTTAATTTATTGCTTGGATTTCTCTTTGAAGTATTACTGTGTAACCAAATTCCTTTTCTAGAAAACAGTACCTCTGTGGTCCCAAGTACTGCAACATTTACCAAACTGAGTTTAGTGAAAGGTTCTGTAGAAATGTGAAGTTTCTGTTGGTATTAATGAAAAACTATCTGTTTTATAAGTGATTAAAATGGAGAAATGTTCTTGCAGGGACCGTGATGTCTTCATCAAATGATATCAATATGGAAGAAATACCTTTGGAAGATGATGAGCGAGACAGCATTGAATACAGGATCCTAATGGCGTATGCCCAGCGGCGGTTGTCTGCCAATAAATATGGGAAATTTCTAAGAAAGGAAGCTAATGTGCAGAAATCCTTGTCCTTAATCAGGAGAGAAGTGGAGACTGAATATCAAGACAATAAAGATGGGCCAAGCCAGATAAAGATTTTGCCTGCTGAGAGTTTGAAACAACCAAGCCAAAAGAAAAGAATACAAACATCTCTCTCAAAATATTCCTCTTCCTTTGGAAGAGAGAAACATGGAAAATCCCCCAAACCTTTAGTGTCCCAAATGATGTTATCACCCCAAAATTCCACAGAGAGTTTCTATCTTCCTCAGATACAGTTTCAGGGCCTTTCAGAAACGAAGCACAAGCACCTGACAGGTATTTTTTAGTTCTTTCTTTTTGGGGTCATTTATTTATCTTTAACTATCTCTCCAAATAACTTTAATAGCTAGTAGCCTATGGAAAGGCAGGTAGAGCAGGAAGGTGCCTGGACTGCACAGTCGTGTTTATCCTAGCTATATTGAGTTCCAGTTAGGAAGTCAGACCGGCAGATCTTCACTAATGCTTGCACACAGTCATCACACTTGTGATATTGTTTTTGTTTGTTTGTTTATTTTCCACCACACCATGTTAAATTACGTATAATTGTACAGGTTGTCTTTTCCAAGCATTTCATACCTGACTAGAAATAAATTGTAGAACTTTGGCCAGACAGAAGATTGCCACACAAAAAAAAAAAAAAAAAAAAGGAAAGAGAAGTTATTTGAAAGCCTGCTCAAGAGCTTTATCAGAGGATGCATACTCCACACTGAAGACCAATTTGTAGCTTGATATTCCATAGCACCAGGCAGTTGGCCACAACCAAACATAAGCACAGAGAAGACCCGTGCCTCTAAAATGCCTCTCATAATTCTCACTGTTATTGGAGTTCAAATGGCAACAGTCTTCTGGAGTTATTTTAATCTCCTCTATACATTACCAGTGCCTCAGAATTGCTCTCAAGTATAGTCCATGGTTGAGGAGAGAATGTTAAAAAAAAGTACAGTGTTTGATCTGGTTGAGAAGGGGCCAGATCTCCTTTTGAGAAAGCTCAAGAGACACTTTCCCATAGGAAGTCTAAACCTGCCCTGCCATGCAGTGGAAGAACAGATAGTGAGTGGCAGCTATTCATCTAAATTTAGGGATCCCTTTAATGTAAATAATTTTTTGTATCCCAGTCCCCAAAGCCAGCTGTGCATGAGGTCCTACACTGCATATAGTGAACTTTATCTTGCTTACTTTGGAAAAAAAAGTCATACCTTAACTTCTCATAAAAGATTGAGAGAGAATGATGATGTATTAAGTAGTCATATATAGTATATGATAGGTTTCAGTGGTGTCTTCATATAAATAAGGGTGTTTTGTTTAATTTGCCCCAGCTTGAAACTGCTGGCTTAAGGTCCTGCTGATGTCAGTGTTGTTCTCCCCTTTTGCTATATTTAAAGACATTTCTAAGGATTATCCATTGCTTATGTCTCCAGACTAAAGTCCAACCATTTTAACTGTCCTGGACCAGTTCCTACTCACTAAACTCATAATTTTCCCTGCTGTCAAATCCGGCTACTTCTTCCAAGAGAGATTCGTTTCCTCCATTTGGTGCATTTTGCTGCAGGGAAATGACTGTGGCTGTCCATGGTTTGATTGCCAAGGACATACGTCTACATCCAGTTATTGCATCCTATAATATCCATTTTCTTTTTCTTATTTTTTTTCTTTCTCTTTTTACATTGTCAAAGAAAGCTCCCAGGGGTTTCGGTGTCAATTCCTTGATGGTCTCTCCAAGGTACCACCATTTGTCCTGCAGGTGGCAGCACGGGCTCAAACTGAAACCTCACCACGCTTAGCTTAATCTCCTCGAAGCTGGTGTTTGACTTCAAATCCATGATTAACCTGCCCTTCAGCAGATTGCTGGACAAAATCCTAAAACTTTAGTATTTGTGGCATAAACTGCTAGCAGCTCTAATGCTATTCTGCATTACAGGCTACTCTGCCAAAATGGAGATGCTTTTCAGGGATTACTTGTCTAAATAGCAGACATGCTTAAAATCAGCTGCTTAATCTTATGTTTCCAAAAGTGTAATCATACACTGTCACAAATGGACTGATCCCCTTCCCTGAAGTACAACAACTTCCAGACAAAATCTGTACGCACTTGGTGAGAAGGAAATATCATAGGGTTTCGTGGTGTCCCTGCTGGAGCAGGGAGGCTGGACTAGATGATCTCTAGAGGTCCCTTCCAACCTCAACCATTCTGTGATTCTGTAATTAACCTTTTCTCTGCAAATTCTGTGCATCTGTGCAAATTCTGTACATTACCGATACCAAAGCTGGATAGTTTAATCTACCAACTGAATTGGTCTCTGCTGTTGGAAAATTTATGTATTTGCTGCTGAATTGTTTTGTCTGTGATGAGTGTTTTGGTCAATTTACTCTGTGTATCAAAAGGGTCTGTGACCCTGCAGCAGCTGGGGCACATGAATTACCTCCATAGGGCAGTGATGGGAGATTTGACACTTAGCAGAGGTGATACAAGAAAGAGATCAGCAAAAATCCTGCATCTGTGTGTATTGCATCTATGTGCAGGCTGTCCAGGGAAGTGGTGGAGTCACCATCCCTGGCAGTGTTGAAGAAACGTGTAGCTGGGGCGCTTAGGGACATGGTTTAGCAGGCATGGTGGTGATGGGTTTAGAGTAGACTTGAAGATCTTGAAGGTCTTTTCCAACCATGTTGATTCTATGATTCATTCACCAACCTTGAAATGAAGTTTTTATTGACTTTGTTAACGCCTGCTGCCTTCACAACAAACTCTGCTTGTGGATTTTACACTCATACTATGGGTCAGGCTGCTGTTGAGCTTGTCTCACAGGAACTGCCACTTGGTGGTGGTAGAGATCACCATCACTTGGTTAAGTAGATTAAGTTTCATATCCCAACCTCAGGGAGGCTAACTGCAAGAAAGAGTAACTCCCAGCTGCCACAAACCTTGCTTGTAGCTGTATGTGCTATAGGCTGCAGCTGTACATAGCTGTATTGCCTGTGTGCTCTAGCACGTGGTCCTTTTAGGACCCTTATGAGGGTCTTAAACAAGCATCCTTACACAAGGTGGATAAAGCCAGACTCGCTGCGGAATGATGAGTCTCCCAATATCCATGTCTATTTAATATAAGTGCCAAGAAGCATTTGTGGTAGAGGTGCCTCTAGCATGAGGCCTACTTCTCTGTGCCCGGGATCAACTGGTGGAAACAACAGGAGAGTATCAAAATGCGGTTGTTTCTAATTCTGGGCCTACAGGTGAACATGGGCCACCCTCAAACCACTTGTGATAGCCTTGAAGATTCATTGTCCTACAGAGGATGTAGAGAAGAAGATGTTTCTTTATCTGTGATGTGCAAGGATGTATGCTAGCAAGCAACACTCATACTTAGTTCTGTATGGACTCTGCATGGTTAGCTGCTACTCAAAAACTAGAAAGGAGTTTTAATCCTGACTCTCTAAATTATTATCACCTGAACTTAGGTAATAGCAAAGCCCATGTGTGTGGGGGTATCCTCTAGGCACTGCCACCTAAGGGGACATGTAAATGAGTAAAGCCTTATTCCCTGGAAATATAAATTGCCTTTTTTTTCCCCACCCTTTCCCAATCAGATGAGAAGACAAATGTTGACCACATTGCAGACAGGCTGGCCAAGCTTGTTACTTCCAGATCTCAGCCGTCTCCTTCAGATGTGTCATTGAAGCAGCTTTATAACCAGGGTCCACAGCGACAAGGTAGAAATGCTACTGGTGGAAGTCAGGATGAAGAAAATGGTAAGGATGAAGAATTTTATGCTCATAGGAAGTATGTTATGTTGATATTATCCTCTGAGGCATTTTCCTCTAGAGTTGGTGAAGCAGTCATGTATTCTGGGATAAGACACTATGAAGAAACAAGTTTGCTCTGCTGAATCCTGCACTCTCACCAACATTTCAGAGGCTGCTCTGGCTGCATAAGTCTTGTCTACTATTGCAATAAAAAGAACATCTTTAAAAATCCAAGAAAGTATGTGCCTTCAGAGAAGGAGAGCAGAGGTAAAGTGACTTGAGGTCACAGAGCACTGCTAGGAGCAGCAGAGCTGGAAACAGAGTAATATACTGAATTTCAAAGGTCAGAGACCCGTTCCTTGGAAAATAATATTTTGGTTAAAGGTCAGTCCCTCTCTGGTGAGGGGACGACATTGGTCAGTGACCTCTATTAAAAGTCTGAGCTGTCTGTCTTCATAATGTCTGTAGAGGTCTCATATAAGCTTTCTGTTTGTGTTTAGAATATGACGAACCTGGAGATAGTTCTAGTTGAGTTATGGAAGATACAGCCGGTAATGATGGGAGGATATTTCTTCTTTATTAGAAGTTAATTCTTTGGGGCTTCTACTAGCTGTTCTTTCACACTATCTTGTTATCAGTCATGCCTCACAGCAAAAAGGCCTAGCAAAGGGATATTAAAATCCCTCATCTTTTCCAGATTCTTAACTGAAATAAAATGTTGGGCAGATGGAGAAATAGAGCTACTTGAAACATGCAGACTTGAACAGTTAGCTTGGGCCTAAAGCCTAGATACAGAACTCCTTGTGATTTTTTCGCAAAACAGCATGTTTTCATGATTAGTTGACACCAAGGTTTTTGCCGTAAGTTGGTATTTGGAACCTACTAGAAGGCTCTAGTGTTTATGTTGCTCTTCTTTGTTTAACAGATGAAGACAATATAATACATACAATAGTTGCACTGTTAGCACAATCCGGGGATCAACTAGAAGAAAAGGTAAATACCTCTGTTTTCAGCAGCTAGACAGATTTGATTGTGTTTGTGTGCATACATACACATGGGCTAGAGAAGGACTGAACATTTGTTGGGAATTAATGTTTTGTAACCCAGCTCTTGCTGTTTCTGTCTTGAACTTCTCTTTCTACATTTGGGCATTTTGAAGCCTTTGCCATTCAGTCTGAAATCTTTCATAAGACCAGAGGACTAGGACAAATCTCTATTGGAGAGTGGGGAAAGACAACAAAGAGGTTGGACAGTTCCTTGTCTAGTTGCTGTTGTGTTTCACAGAGAGTTGAGCATTTAACTGAATCTGAAAATTCAAACTGAGAATGGAAGCTCTTGGCTTGGCATTAAACTTGGAGTACAAGTTGTTCCCAGTGAAAGGAGGGAGACTGCAGTGACAAGTGGGATTTGTGTGTCATGTTTTGCAATCAGCACCATTATCTGCCTACTTACAGATGCTTTACTTTCCCAATGAGATAGAGAAAGCCAGTATCACAAAAGTTTAACCAATCCTTATTCTTATTTTCAGATCAAAAAGGACAAGTCTTTCTATCAGTATTTGATAAATAGGCTCTCCTACACCTTCTTTGAGAGGCTCATTGATCTAACCCTGACAGCTGTCTCAGCAGACTCAACCAGCGAGACAGAAGGCCAAGCACAGTGCACCAAAGCTGCCTTTGCACTGGAAGTTGCCACCAGACTTACTGCTGTGGACAGCCATCCCATGAACATGGTCCTGGGCTTTGGAGTAAAGTACCTCAGGGAACACTTCACACCTTGGATTCGGCACGAGGGTGGCTGGGTATGAGTACTGCTACTTTGACTTACAGGCTACTGCACCTAGAAGTAGCCTACATTCACAAAACTAGAATAAGCCAAAGGCAAACCGAAACAAAAAGGTGTTCTTTAACACAGTGTATGCTTATGCTGTGGAATTCTTTACTACAAGATATTCTCTGGGCTGAAAGATTTTTATTTACATAGACCCACAGATCAACAGGAGAAACTCATGAAAGGATATTTAACGGCTAATTAAATATAAAACAGTAAACCTGGCCCAGTCTAGGGCAAGCTTGTAGTAAAGACTACATGCAGTCTTTACTACAGGCTTGCCCTAAACTTATACTCCTACCTAGAAGTCTGCTATTAGACAGTTCTGGAGACAAGATGAAATTCAGTAATCCATACAGTCTGCCCCTGTGATGTGGTATGCTTCCATTTTGCCTGTACCCAAAGGTATCTATTTATCTTGTTCCTTTTCCAAAGCTGGTTGTGCAAGGTGTTCTTTTCCTAGCAGTGGTATTGAGCTGCTGCCCTTTAGAGCTTATATGCCTGGATTTGTTGTGAAGCAGTGGAGCTCCTAGTTGCTTTGGTCTTCCTGAAGTGAATGAGAAATGTTCAGGATCTGTAAAGTGTGTGTCCATTGAAATAGATAGAATATGAGGATATTTGATGGTGTGGTCATGAAATCCTGCTGGAAAATGTACTGACTGCAGATTTGAAAAGGTTCCTCAGTGCTTCAGTAATTGCAACTTTTCTTCCTCTGTTACAGGAGAAGGCTCTAACTTTGCTGGATCAGGAAGAAATTGAATAATCATGCAAAAGACTTAAGTGAAGAAATATGCTGGATCTTACCACAATGCAATGCAATAATGATTACTGGCTATTTATTTTTATTCCCAAGGGAGGTTGCAGTGTTTTCACTGCAAATTGCACTGCAAAATGCGCTGCAAATGCCAGTGAAACTAAGATTTGGAAGCTGCTTTGTGAAGTGCATTTTGTGATGGGGCCATTTCTAGCCCACTTGGCTAATGACTGCTGGATTTCCATCTCCTGTGCATCTGTAATGGGGAAAGTTTGGAACATCTACTGAAGTTGTAAAATCATAGTGTTCCTTCTTAATATATGATTTTTTTCTTGTACAAACGGTTAATGTTTCCTGGAAAAATTCTGTGGTTCTTAGTAAAATGGCCTTTCATTACAGATACTCATTATATGTGTACAAGTAGGTTAATTACAAAGACTGCACAAAAACTTATTAACAAATTGTGAATTTGAATGAAAGCAATAAAAAGCATTTGAACTGGATGTGCAAAATGTGCACATAAAAGATGAGCACTTACACTTTAAACATATTATGCATAACAGATTCCACCTCTGGTTTGGCCATGTATGTGTGAGACAAAGAGAAGATGGAAATGCGTTAGCTTTGTTTCCCTGGAATACTTGATATATCTCTAGACTGTATTTCTTGCTTATCACTTTTTAAGAAGAGCATACACACTTTACATTCACTTTATATGCCTCCAAAAGGAGGATAATTTGGGGAGAGCCAAGTGTTTTCCCAAAAGTACAAAAACTGCTGTGCCTCTCCTTGCTTCTCTGCCTCTGACACCTTTTTCAAATGGAAAAGTATTGTAAAACAATGGTCATAACCCAGTATATTAGGTTGTTGAAGACTATGGCAAAATTTGATACACAGAAGTCAAAGAGAAGCAGTAGTAATTTAAAATCAAGAAGCCCTTATCCTGCTACAGATTCACAAAATAGGGCCTGCTAGGCATTAAAGCAGCAATGATTTTTCCCTCATGCTGGTCTGTGACCCCTCCTGTTGCTGTTTTGTCAACAAGCAGGGGCTGCTAGCCTTCTTTGCAGTGGAGGCTGTTGCCTGCTACTTTGTTATAAATTTAATTTTTTTCTAAAACAGGCTTATTAGCTAGATTGTGGCTCTGAAGAACTAGATGTTATTCCATTTTAATTACACTGAGACTATAGTTGATTTGTTGTTGGACACCAGTTTGCCATTAGCAGGACAGTAGCTTATGGAAGTCACTTTTTAAAATATTCTTGGCTGGAATAACAGTCTGCCATTTGGCAAAGTGCAAAGCTTGTATTTGTATGTCTGTTTTTTAAGCTGCACATTTAGCAGCCCTAAGCCCAAACGTGCCTCTCATCTCTGCTCTGGTACATCAGGGACAGTTTCATGCCAAGAACGGAACCAACTGCCAAACAGACTGGCTTGATAGGCAATGTAAAAACTAGCCATCTAAGAAAAAGATGCTCAGCTGTTTTTTATTTTTCTCTGTATTTCAGGCTTGTTAAGAAAGCCTTTTTTCAGTAGCAGTAGGGCCAGCATAGGAAATGAGCCAAGTGAGCTGTTTCTTATTTAGATGTTCTTGAATTTGCCATCCACATCAGTTAAACTTTAAGAGCAATCTACTCCTTTTATGGCAGAGATCTGTAGTAACCTTTCTGCTGGAATGATTGCTTTGGTTTATTGTAAGACCAGTCAACAGAGTTGCACACCAAGTTGTTGCCTCTGCTGGGGGCTGGCTGGGATTAATTAGCAAAATTCTACTGTGGGCTCATCCAGCTTTTGTTTTGTTGTTCTTTTTCAATCTGTGATGACTAAACTAATGCAATAAAAATACGTGCATTTCAGGCACCTGTGCAAGCAGAGGGAATATTGTGAAAGACCCTGCCTGTCTGGGCCTTCATTTTACTTCAACATTTCCCAAGAAGTCCAGCTTTACATTTAGTTGTAGATCCCTCTGGAGCCGTTTGGAATGTTACTGTAAAATAGAAAGCAATTCATTATTCAAACGAAACTTTTGTTTGGGATTTTTATTATTGTATATATAATCAAATCAGCATCACGCTCTTTGTTACAGCATCAATTTTAGTCTGAACAAGGAGCTGATTTCACCGTGCATTAAGGTCACAAGAACTGAGTTTGGCTATTTAGCCTGGTGGTGCCAGGGTTTATTTCTTTAGAACAATACCAGGATCCTCTAGGGTCCTTCTGCAGTGCATTAGAGCTGGTCAGTCCAGCAGAGTAACCCGTGTTAGCACCAGGTATTGCTGTTGTAGACTCTGGGAGCAGGAATTCCCACTGCAAAGGAGACCTGTCACAGCTGCCATTGCCCAGAGCAAGTGAGGCCTAGTGCAGTTCTTTGTGATGTAGCTAAAGCATGAAATAAGATGATCCTGCCCATGTTTACCTAGTGGAGTGCAAAGTCAAGAGTCCCTGCCTTATGGCCACAGTGCCTATTGCTCCAGTGAGAAGGAGAAATGGTAGTAAGCTCTCCAGAGCCCTCACCAAAAACCAAACATTTCCCTTATCTTTGCTAAAGCTGTCACGGGGCTAGGTTTCTTTTGGCTCTTGTAAGATGCTAGAAGAGGGGCATGAGCCAGATATTTCTCCAAAAGAGGGTAGTCAGATACTTTGTCGGTACGGACAGAGGTCTTGGATCTTCTGACTGCACAGCAAGTATCAATCTTTTGAAATTGATTTGCCTTTCTCTTCTTTCTACAAGTGAAGGGTGTGCTGCCTACATAACAGTGTCTCAGGAGATAGCAGGTTGACAGAAAGTGAACTGCTGCAAAGCAATGAGAATAACTCATCAAATACCACTGTCTGAAAAGTAGATTTACTGCCTATGACTTGTCTGCTAAAAAGGCTCACAATCTGGAAGAAGTTCAGGGTTAAAAGTTCACAGCTGGGCTGTTGTAGTGGGAATGAAGGATGAGAAGCAAGCTGAAAACATTAATGCTGGTTGTCTTGCTTGTTTGTTAATCTATGGCTGTGATACTCTTGCCAGGAATGGTGTTTACTCCAGAAGGGGGACAGAAAAGAGCTCTGCTGCGTGATCCCTAGCGTGATAGGTTGTGGGCTGGGATTTGAAGATCAACTTGGGTTGGAGCTGCTTCACTCCCTCCTAATCAACCAACAGAGAGTTAGCACTCCCATTTCATGATAATCCACTCCATTTTCTCCCCCAGGGACACTTTTGCAGACTCGTGTCAGAAGTTCTGAGTGCTTCCCTTGATGGAGATGAAGAGGTAGCAGTGGGAGATACTTCTCTGATGAGGAAAAGGTTTTTCCGTACTTTCCAGTAGACCGAAGGTAGAGGTTCACTTCACAGCTTCAGGTGTGGTGTGCAAGAGACAGGCAGCACGCAGATGAAGCAACAGTCTATCTCAGAGCCTGTCTTACTGAGCATTAAATAATTCAGATATAATTAATAGATATACTTCCTAGTAAGACAGCCAGACACATGAGATACCGAGGAAGTTCCAGAAACTTTATGGGGAGGCACAGCACTAAGCTAAGTATGGAAAAGGAGAAAGGGCCCCCAAATCCACAGGTATCAGAAGCTAGGGGAGGACCCACCAGCCAGGGAAGCGGGGAGGAAGCCCAGTCAGGCAGATGGGCAGCTGACTGAACATGCCCCACGCTTCTAGCTTTGGTGATTTCTGCCGTTGTTCCCATGGGCCTTGTTCAACTCCTTGCTGGTTTCATTTCCCAAAGCCAGTGAACTGTTCTACACACCATTTGGGCACAGCACTGAAATGGAAAATCTGGGTTATGTTTCCGTTCCAAATGAGGCAGCTGAGGGATCTTGGGATTTGAACCTGGCTTTTCTCGCATGCCAGCCAACAATTCTGGCCACTCTAGATGTAGAGAACACTGACACACAATGTGGGGCTTTATTTCCCCTCCCACACCTTTGCATATCATGAAACACTATATCAGAGGACTCCTGCTAGGCTGGGCCTGTTTGCTAGGCAGACAAGAGCTCCCTGTGCTAAGGAGATTAGCACTGTGCGGGCACAGAGGGCTGTGCTTATGCCTACTGGTAGAACTATAGGCAAGTATGGGACTTTGTTGTGTTAAACAAAACCTAAACAAAGTCCCTGTTGATGTCAGTGGTGCCAAAATATTTATTATAGGTGCTGGTAAAGAAAATAAATTCTTTAAATGAATCAGAGGCAGTGGTGTGAACCATACTGTGGATAAGTGAGAGCTGAGGCGGTAAGAAAACCCCCAGTCTAGCTGTCCTTCCAGGCTCAGGAGTCGTGCTGTGTGGTAAACGCAGTGAGCGCTGCTCTCTGGCTTTATTTAACATGAGTCCCTTCCCCATCTGTGCACACACGTGGGTGTGCACAAAGGCACACAACTAGTGCTGCATGGCGGCTGGGTGTGCCTGGTTTCACCCCTGCACGACTGCAGTTTGGGGGGAAGGTGCCTTCTCACAAGCACGGGGTGAGACTTGGGTTTCCTAGGAGGTGGGAGGCACAGGGATTGCTCCAGGCATTATCAGCATTTTAAGCATCAGAAACAAAGTGAGGACAACATCATGATTGACCTCTGGCAAAGTTGGGGATGGCTGTTAATAGCTGCAACATCTAGTGCTTCGCGCTGCCGATCCCAGTGTCGAAAAGGCCTGAGTTGGCTCCCCAAACTCTCACAGAGGAAACCCTTTAATTAAGCCCCATTTGTGGTATTTTGGGTTTTTTTTTTTTTTTTTTTTTTTTTTTTTGTGGAGGCTGGGTGTCATATTTGCCTTCTGCTTTTTATCCTTTTGGGTAAATACAGATCACATTGTTACTTTCCCTCCAGACAAGCTTTTTAAGTGAAAGCTGAGCACCCCAGTCCTACCCTCTCCAGGATCTGGAGATGAAGGAAAATGTTGAATATCACGTGGAAACCACAGCACTTAGACTGTTATAAACATGCTGGAGTACTTGTAGAGATGTGATATCCTTTAGAAAGATGTATTCCATAGTGAAACCTCACTGCACAAGCAGGGT